TTCCTTAATAGTGCAGGTGCTTTAAGATAGTGTGCCTGGTCATTGACCCTGGCATTGACCTGTATTAATATATGATTGACTTGTAGATAAAACCCCCTGAATGAGATGGTGCCATGACAGTTCCAGAAAGCCCTACCAGGGTCGAAACTCTCCCACCTGAGATAAAGGAGGAGTTAAACATCTAATTGGTGAAGACTGCAGAAGGTAGATCCCAGTTCTCCTGGAAATCAAGAAACAGTAATAAATTTGGAAGATATCTATCTATCTATATCTATATAGACATTCTTTGCCATTCACTGATGGAAGAAGCATCCCCCACCTCCTTCTCTCTCCAGTGTTCTTAAGCCTTACTTTACTTTCACTTACAATAAACCCCCCCCCCCTTGTGTGTTTTTGTGTCTAACTCTAAATTTTCCTTTGTCAGGACACAAACACTGAGGTTTGGAGCTCTGGCTGCCTATTCTTCTTTGCCTTACTTTGTGCCCTCAAGGGAGGTTGACTTTTATAGACTATTTCAGACAAGTTCCTTATTGACTGACTTCAGCTTGGGTTCTGATAATGAAGGAATAAAAAAGAGATTATAGAGCGGAAGGAGGAAAAGATCAGTGAATTCTACATGGTACTGGCCATACTTCAGGTGGCCCTTCTTCCATGGTTGTTTTTCTTTCTGTGTTCTGGTAATATAGCTCCCCCCATCTTTTCTTGCTCTGTTGGGGATCAAACTAGGCCTTGTGCAAGCTAGGGAAGTTCTTTACTACTAACTATACCAACAGTCAGATGCCCTCTTTTTGCTTCTATGGGACTAAGAATGCTAATAGCTTTTAATTATTAGCTTAGTTTGTTCTAGGCATGTATGTGTAATAATTCATTTAATCCCTAATAAGGCCAACAGACATGTACTGTTTTTTTTGGGTACCTCACAAACTTTGATAAATCCTTCCTTACCTTTCTTACCTCTGTAAATACTTTCTTTGTTAAAATTCTCTTGAATTAAGCTCTTTAGGTGACGCCATAGAGCAATTAGAAAAGGGCTATTATAAAGCCCCAAAAATCCTAATTGTAGTTCAATTAAACATATTTAATAAGCTAGGAATACTTAGCACTAAAAATGCAACAGTATGCTTTTTTTTTTTTGGTCCCGGGGAATGAACCCAGGGGCACTCCATCACTGAGCCACATCCCCAGCCCTTTTTTGTATTTTATTTATAAACAGGATCTCACTGAGTTGCTTAGAGCCTCACTAAATTGTTGAGGCTGGCTTTGAACTTGCGATCCTCCTGTTTCAGCTTCCTGAGCTGCTGGGATCACAGGCCTGCACCACCACGCCGGGAAGCATCAGTGCACTTTCAGTGCTCCGTTGGTCAGGGTTTGTTGTTCTAATTATAAAATTTTCTCTGCAACAAGTAATTTGACATGGTGAACATTCTATTTCTCATCACATAGCAATTGCTTCAATTCAAAAGAATTCAGGAGAAAGAATCTTCACAATTCTTTTTAAGCCATAAACAAACTATACTTCTACCCCCTACATTGATCTATGTCATATATCACATCCCTACATATTCTCCACTATCCTAACAAGCTCTAATCCAAACCCGCTTGCATGCTCCTCAACCCCAGCATGGACATTAAAATTACCCAGGAAGAGTTTCTGAAAATACTCATGCCCAGACCTCACTGCAGCATCTCTAGGGATGATGACACTGATACTGTTTAAAATCTCTTTAAATATCCTAAAATGAAGAGTTGAGAACAAAGCTACAAAATAAAAATAAAACAAACCAGATCACACAAAATGATATGACTACTCTCAGGTTGGGGCTGTAGCTCAGCAGCAGAGCACTTGCCTAGCATGCTTGAGGCACTGGGTTCAATCCTCAGCACCACATAAAAATAAACAAATAAAATAAAGGCATTCTTTCCATCTACAACTACAAAAAAATTAAAAAAAAAGACATGAGTCTATATTCATACAGAATATTTTGTGTCTAAGAAAGCTGATTCTTTCTCAATAAATTTTCTATGAGCTTTTTAAAAAACTCCACTAACCTTCAACTTTTGCACATTGGAACATTGACTGAGAAACCTTCAGCTGGTTTGCCTTCCTTGTTTGGCATGCATGGTTTGTTGACAAACCGTCCAGAATAAGGCGAAAGAAGGTCACAATTAAACAAGCCCCCAAGTCAGCAGAGGTTTTCTACAGTGAGGTTTTTCTTAGAATCCTAAGAAAGGGTAAAAATGCATATATAAATGTTCAGGCAAATAGAGAGTTTGCTTACTGGTGTGGGGGTGGAGAAAAAGCTATTGTGAACAAAGAAGTGATGCCTTTGATATTTTTAAAGAACTCTTTAAGGATCAAATAGAAGGTACACTGTATATTTGTTTTGCATCATATTTTTGAGTTCTTTGTTATGGAATAGAGGGCTCTTCTAAAAAGACTAAAAGGCAATGACAATAAACACAATTAATTTGAAATAAAGATGGAACAATCAAATAATTCTCAGTCTAAATTAGGACTATAGTAATATGAAAAAAAAGAGCAGTCAAATATATTTTCTATCCCAGTTTGTTAAGGTGACCCAATGTTCTGCGTTTTGTCAGTTCCATTTTTACAAAGGGCCTACTCTATGTAGAGAGTGTCTTTAAGCACTATTTTACAAAGAAATGCAAATACCTGTGCTTTCTCTATTTAGCTTAATAATATCTTTTCTTGGACTGGGGCTGTAGCTCAGTGGTAGAATGCTTGCCTCACATGTGTGAAGCACTGGGTTCGATCCTCAGCACCACATAAAAATAAACAAAAAGATATTGTGTTCATTTACAACTAAAAATAATATTTAAAAATAATCTTTGTGAGAATTGGCAGCTCACAAAATTATGTGAAGTATTTCATAAGGGGCAGGAAGCTTTCTCATACCTCTTTGGCAGTAATCACTGCCTACAGGTTGCTACTGTAAGTGATTGTACAAACAATGAAACAACTGAAGTTGGCTTCTTTCATTTCTGATCTGCCCTCACTCCACTTCCTTCCAAGTCCCTCCTTCATCTCTTAACCTACATTGACTTAGTAAAAATTTGTTTCCCTTTAAGCTTCAAGTTGTCTAAGTATTTTAGGTACTTGGGTTATCTCAATTAACCAAACAGACCCCCAAACTAAACTAAACAAAGAAACCATGCCCTCCTGGAAGGAGTTGTCCTTGAGTACAAGAAAATTTGTAAATTAAAGTAATTCAGTTGAAGTAGGGACTCATGGTGAGTAGAATGATAAAGTATAAGTGACTACTCCTCCCCCCCATCTCTGGAAAGAAGACTTGGAAAGTCTTCCTTTGCTTTCTAGAAAGCAGTTTCAGTCAATTACATTTGACTTTTAAAAAGTCATGGATTGCATACACGTCTGTTCAGATGCTTACCTACAGGTGTCAGTAACATATTTTAACAATCCAGATAATTAAAAATGATTCTAGATAATATTAACATGAAAAACATTAATTGTACCTTTGTATCATCTATCTATCTCTCTTTCTATATATATATGTAAACTTTTTTTTTTTTTTTTTTGGTAGTGCTGGGGATTGAACCCAGGGCCTCATGTTTGCTAGGCAAAAGCACCATATCCCCAGCACCCCTAAGCTACTTTTATATATTTATATCATTTGGTGGTCCTAACAATCTTATGACTGAAGAAAGAAAAGTAGCTTTATTAGGCCTTTCTGCACATAATAAGTCTTAAAGAATTTGTGTTACTGGATGAACTTGAAAGGACCAAGCTTGGATGAGAATACCCTTTAAAAAGTTATGTCTGGTTACCTTTTCATGTTCTATTGAATCCTACTTGGTATAAAAAGGCCTTAGCCTTAGGTGTTTCAGTCTTGTTAGGGAAATACCATAGGGTTAAGTCCTAAATTGTTTAGTGCAGAAAGCAGTAATTAAGAATGGAAAAGAAATAACTTGAGTAGCTGGGAACGTTTACATGTAAAATGGTCGTGGGGATGGTTGTGGGGGGGGGGGCGGCTTTTGTACTTTCCATTACATTTAAGAAACTTCAAAGTCCTTACTTTATGTCATACTTTGCTGGGTGAGAAGTTTACAGAAGCAGTTAGGACTAGTTTCTGCCTTGAAGGATCTTTGTATATAGGGAGTAGGTCACAGTGTCCTGAACTGGATTCTGAAGAACTGATTAGGATTCACATGGGCCGGCGCTCAGAAGGAAGAGTGGGTTAGAAAAGCAGATCGAAAGACAGGATACAAGGCATTCAAAGGATAGATTTTTGAGAATTGAAGGAACCCCCAAAGTTTGTTTGATATGCAAAATGCTCTGTTTTTCGTTTCTTGTTAAGATATTCACCATGAACATATTTGGAAGCGGGGACAAAAATGACTTATTTCAGTTGTAAATCCTATGCCTCCCCTCTTTAAGCTTAGAATTCATCCCTTAGCGGCCACACTCAAAGTAAACTCTTTCTATTAATATAACAGGTGGTCAGAAAACTTGGATTTGAGCCATACCTATGCCACTTAGTTTGCGTCACCTTTTCCTTCTCTAAGACGAGGGTAATCCAAAAGGCCGCCTCTCAGGGTTTTGTGATAGTGATTTAAAACAATGTCTGTGAAGGTACTTTCTCTGCCACACGCAAGGCGCTTTTATCTCCGGGTTCTTCCCAGTCTTGGCGACTGTGAGATTTGGGGCATCACTAATCAATACGGATTATTAAGCATCTTCACAAAGGCCAGACTGTGTCTCTCAGGTCTTTCCACCCACTCCTGGAGGCAAGAAAAAAAAGGAGGCAACAGACAACTTTGGTTACGGCAGGGTCGGGGGAAGAAAAAGCCTAGCGTGCGGAAAACTGCAAATATCTACGCAAGCACACACGCACAGGCCACGCCGCGCTTTTCCCTTTGAGGGCGGGGCAGACGATGACGTACCCACGTCGTGCGCGCTGGCGTCCTCATTGCGCGCGCCGCCGGTCTGCGTCTGCTGTTGCCCGGTGCGCGTCGCATGCGCTTCCGGCCCGGCCGTTAGAGGGCGGAGCTTCCGCCTGGACTGGGGTGGGCGCGTTCACCTGCTGTGCTGGAGTAACTTTTTTGTAGTTGTTGTCCGGCTGTAGTCACGTGAAAGTGTGGAGTCGAGAGAGTTTTCTGATTCTCTTTGCAAAGTCATCTTCTCTGCGGTCGTACAAGCGGTGACTCCGTCATGCCGAACTCGAGGTCCAGGCCTCGCCGGGGCCCCGGGAATGGCTCCGGGGCTGCCGGCCGGGACGAGTTGGTGGCGCGGTCCTTGCAGAGCGCTGAACATTGTCTTGGTGCCCAGGACTTCGGCACTGCTTATGCCCACTACCTCCTGGTGCTCAGCCTGGCGCCGGAGCTGAAAGACGACGTGAAGGTGAGGTCTCTTCTCCGTTCTTGTAAAAAAAGTTAAAAACAAAAAACGGCAGGCAGGTAAAGGGTCCTGGGTACCTGGTAGTTGCTATTAGTATTTATTGTTCATCCTTGCAGCCTTAATTTTATTCACATTCATGATCTGCCAGCAGAAAATCCTGTCGGCTCCACCTTCAAAATTATGTCCAGAATCCTATCGGCTTTTACTGTTTTGTCCTTTATACCCTGGTTCAAGAATCCACCTGCAGATTGTTGCAGTGGACTCTCTACTGGGTTCCTTCCTGTAGTCTGTCTCAACACGGCCAGCTTTTTGGTACAAAAGTCAAAAACTATGTCACTTCTCTGTTTCAAAACGTTCATTTCACTTGAAGTTCCCACAGCCTTCGGATCCCAAATGAGGCCTTAGGTGATGTGCTCCCTCATGCCCCTGTCGTGGAGCCTTTGCATTTTTGTTTAGAAGGAATACTGTGGGTCTCTGTAGTCGAATAAAGTGTACAGTTAACCTGAAGTAATCATTGTTTGATGATGCATCTTTTAGTTTCAATTATTATTTGCAACAGTTACTCTGTTGAAATACTGTTGTTTTCTCCCAAATGGTTTTAGAATCCACATTTTGAAAAATGATTCAACTTAAATTTCATAGTCAGTGTTCAGTTGCAAGCTAGTTGGCTTAATTTAATTTAACCTAGGGTTTCTCATCCTCAACCTTGTTGATATTTTGAATGGAAAAACTTCTTTGAGGGGCTATCCAGTGCATTGGTAGAATATTTTAGCAGGTTCCTTGTTCTCTGCCCACTAGATGTCAGTAGCATCTAGACTTTCATAGTTGACACAAATTATCTTAGTGTAAATTTCAGGAGCAACTGGCTTCTTCAGAAGAAGTTGATAGTTTGCCCCTTTGTGTAGGAGTCTTTAGGGTAATAAATCAACCCAAGTGTTCTTTCCTCAGTTCTTTATTTTTTAGTTTCTTCTGTACACAGGGACAATATCTGTCTTTAAAGTATATATGGACCAGTGCTGTGGCACATGTCTATAATCCCAGTAGTTTAGGAGGCTGAGGCAGGAGGATCGTAAATTAAAAGCTAGCCACCAGCCTCAGCAAAAGTAAGGTGCTACGCAACACAGTGAGACCTCTAAATAAAATACAAAACTGGAGGTGTGCCTCAGTGGTTGAGTGCCCATGAATTCAATCTCTGGTACCAAAAAAAAAAAAAAAAAAAAGAAAGTATATATGAAATTTGTATTGCAATACCTGGCATTCATTGAGGTTCAGTAACTGGTTCTGTTTCCTTCAGAACGAAGTTTGTGTTTGTGTGTGTGTGTGTGTATAAAATTTTTTTTAAACATTTATTTTTTATTTGTAGGTGGACACGAAACCTTTATTTTATTTTTATGTGGTGCTGAGGATCGAACCCAGTGCCTCACGCATGCTAGGCAAGTGCTCTACCATTGAGCCACAATCCCAGCCCTGTATAAAATTTCTTAAAAAATTTATATATATATAATTTCTAGGGATTAAGCCCAGGGGGACTTAACCACCCAACTCTTTTTTATATTTTATTTTGAAACAGGGACTCACTAAGTTGCTTAGTGTGTTGCTAAGTTGCTGAGGCTGGCTTTGAACTTGTGGTTTTCCTGTCTCAGCTTCCCAAAGTACTGATATTACAGGCATGCACCACCACACCTGGCTATCAAGTTCATATTTCTTAGCAAAAGTTTCATTTGCAGAAATTTCATTTCCTGCCACTCTCTCCGTTTCCCATACCCACACTCTGGCTGCACCAGGCTACTTATCTGTAGAGCCTCTGATCATTTCATATAATTTCTGTGTTTCCCTCACAACTGAGTCTCCTTTCTTATCATTGTCTGTGTAGTAATTTCCATTCATGTTCAACTTCAAATATCAGCTCTTCTGTATAAAGTATGTGAAGTTTTTGACTTAAAATATCATGGAATGTCAGAAGTGTACTCTCTTTGCAGAGTTGCCTTTTTTTGTGTGTGTGTTGGGGATTGAACCCAGGGGTACTTTACCACCAAACTATCCCCAGCCCTTTTTATTTGTTTATTGGTTTTATTAAGTTGCTCAGGGCCATCCTAAGTTGCTGAGGCTGGCCTTGAATTTGTGATCTTCCTGCTGAGTTGTTGGAGTTACAGGTGTCTGCCACCACATCCAGCATCTTTTCACAGTGTTACCATGTGGAAATTGGTTTGAGGGAGATGAGAATGGAGCTAGGGTGACAGTGAGGAGGCGATTGCTGTAGTCTCACAGGTGATTACAAGAAACAAATTAGGTTGTAACAGTGGTATTTTAGAAGAGGGGACAGATTTAAAGATATCGAGTGAGGATTGGCTGAATATGAAACATCACATGTGGAGTTGAAATAACATTAAAAGGTGGTGACTTTGTGGGTTGATGCTGATTGGTACCTAAACCTTAAATCCTCTGAAGATCCTCTGAAGAATGTGGTGGATCCAGTTTAGAACATTTTGAAAATTTTCAAAATTATTTGTGAATTTTCTCTGTAGGGCCTCAGCATAGGGACAAGATTTATGTTGTTTTCATTGTGGTTTGGCCCCAGTTCTTTGCACACTGATTGTTGTGGAATATTTGAATTAAACTAAATTTGAGAAGTATGGGAATTAAGTGCCTGTCTGGTTGAGATGATTAGCAGGAAGCTATATTTATGAGTCTGATGACTAGATGAGAGAGTTTTAATTGGAGATGAAGTGTAGCACCATTAACACATAGGTGATAATTAATGCATTGGGGATGGATAAGACAAGAGGGCTAAGGACAAAGTCAAACTCAAGTGCCCACAAAAAAGGAGGAAGAAGAGAAATAGTAGAGTGATATGGCAGCTAAGAATGGAAGGAATATACAGAGTGGCCAAATTGTCTAGTTCTGTATATAATTGCCATGTAGGTGGTAAAATTCCCTCATTTGTGTATGTGTTTGTAAGCAGTACTTACTACAGTTAAATGACTTAAAATGATTGTTTAATAGTAAGTTCCAGTCTCTGGAATCTTCAGTATTCTGTATTCTTTCATCTCTATTGACTACCTTTTTTTCTTTGTTTCTAAAGGAAACTTTTCAGTATACACTCTTGAAATGGGCTGAAGAGCTTGATGCACTCAGTCGAACACAAGACTTACTTGGTTGCTATGAGCAGGCCTTGGAACTCTTTCCTGATGATGAAGTAATTTGCAATAGTATGGGGGAACATCTCTTCAGGTTTGTAATGATTTCTGTATTTCTAGTTAAGAATTATTCTGTATCTGTCTGAATCAGAGATCAATTATACAGTAATTTGAATAGGGGAAGCTTAATGTAAAGAATTAACCATTATAGGGGATTGAAGTAATGAGGGATTAGCTAATAACAAGAGAACTTAAAAGAGTATGAGAATAGCAGATATAAAATGGAATATCAGTTTTAATACTATATAATCATCCCTGCACCTATGGCTAGGATAGAGTATTCAAGGAAGAGTCCACCTAATGGGCTGAGAGGGCATAGCTGTGATTCACAGGGTGCCAGATAACTTGTCATTTGGTTCTCTGGAACTTGCTAGAATTTTGCTGGTTGGGGTGCTAGAGAGTCTCATGGAAAAGTATCAAATTGGAGACATTCTGTTACAAAAGCACCCAGGAGGGGGATTCTTGGGGGATGCAACCAATCACTGAGTACTGTTGCCTCCCTCAGGAGCCTGATGCTGGAGAAGCCCTGTGATTCTAGGACTCTAGGACCTGGAAGCAAAACCCTTTCCTCCTGTAGTGTCCCCAGCATTTTTTAAATGATGGTTGGAAAAATATTAAAGAGCGAGATACATTTTTATGCACCGCAGCAAAAGGGGAGAATTTAGTAATAAGTCAATAACTGGCTATCTTAGGAGTCTTTCAGACCATTCCCAAGTTTGCTGATTTGTTAGGATGGCTCACAGGACTCAGTATATAGTTGTCATGGCTGTGATTTGTTATCGTGAAAGGACATAAAGCAAAATTAGCAAAGGGGAAAGGTTCTTGGGGCAGTCTGAAGGAAACCAGGTGCAACTCTCCCAAGGTACTCTCTCAGTGAAGTCACCTTGGGTATACTTCCTTCACCTTGTAAAGAACACAAGTGGAATGTTGCCAATCAGGGAAGCTCATTAGAAACTCTATATCCAATGTTTTTGTGGGTGTTTAGGACATTTGGGTATCTACCTTCTGTGTAACATATACCAAAGTTCTAGACTCCCAGAAGAAAAGCAGATATTCAGCATGAATCACACTATTTGTACAAACTGTGAGCTGCTCTTATTAGTTAGGGCAGGGGAAATGTCCCAGAATCCCAGAAACCAGCCAAAAGCCAACCTCATAAGCAGACCTTTCAAAGGGTTATTAGTTCCACTTGCCATGTTAACTCTTTTTGCATTCCAGCACACATGAATAAAAAGATTTGAGAAAATATAGAAATACAATGAAAGGTTAACATCGCTTCTGCTTCTGAATTAGAAAATTTCAAAGTAATATGGTGAGATCATGGTTCTGCCAAGTTGGGAAATGGCTATTGTATAAATTTGTAACAATTTATGAATTAATGAGTCTCATATTACATTTTCCTTTTAGTTCTTTTTACGCATTTCCCTGTTAATTGCCTCTTCCTCCATTCAAGTCATATCCACCTAAAATTTGGTGTCATTCATAAAGGACTACAGAGCTCTTAAGGGACAACAATTTCTCTTAAGTACATCTTGATTCTATTAACTGTCAGTAATCAATTTGATACACTTGTCTCAATGCCTGTGAGCCTCTAATTTGACTCAGTGAACAGTAATAGTACAAGGTCAGGGCTCTGGGGAAAGGTACATATATAATTTGTGCAGTTCTCAGAGTTAATTGTTTAAATAGCTCATTGTTATACATACATTTTTATTTCAGTATAGAGACATATGTTTTATAAATAACTTTTATATTTCATTTTGAGACAGGATCCCGCTAAGTTGGCCAGGCTGTCTTTGAACTTGTGGTCCTCCTGCCTCAGCTTCCTGAGAAACTGCTGGGATTACGAGCATGTGTCACTGCACCCAGCTTTGATGTATAGAATTTTTTGTTAACAATTACTTGTTGAAAACAAGTAATATCCATTCAAGTCGTATCCATTTTAGCTGCCGAATAGAATGCCTTTCTGTTGAGGTTGCTTAAAATGTTGATGAAAAAGTGAGTGAAGATTGACTTTATATTATGTATTAATGTGAGTGTACATAAGTGTTTTTATAAGTGAAATATGATTTCTTTCTATAGAACACACTTTTTTTTTTTTCCACATTGGAATTCTTGTGTACTCTTCATGGGAACTTTATTATTAGGAAAGCTGGAAGAAATCAAAATCTATTCTTTCATTTGCCTTAATAACTGGGCTCACTGCTTTGTGTAAATTAATAGAATTCTTATTTAGGAAAATAATAGGACTCTTATTTAGGAAACACCATTAATGCTTTATTTTCTAAAGAAATATCATTTTAACATATTCTAGTAATTGTTTTCTAGTATTTTTCTTTCCTTTTTGGGTTGTATTAATTTTTATTCATTTAAGAGTTTTGTATAAAAAATACTCTTATCAAATGTTGTTAGTCCCAGTGATATAGCAGTGTTAATTAACATGGTCTGGGGAATCAATGACTACTCCTTTAAGAGACAAATATTTGATAATTTCTAATATGATTAGAATCAGAAAAAAAATATAATTAGGAAAATAAGGCAGATTGTCACCTGAGGCTTGTTTTGTTTTCATATTAACAACTAACCTGATGAGGCACCTTTTCTACAAATTAGCAACCTTCCATTTAAATGAAATTTATTTAAAAATATCTTCCAATAATTCCTCAAATTAGTAAAAGCCTACAAAATTTTAATTTAGAGTTTTCTTTTTTCTTAAGTTTAGATAAGGGGCTGGGGTTTTGGCTCAGTGGTAAAGTGCTTGCTTAGCATGAGTGAGGCACTGGGTTCGATCCTCAGCATTACATAAAAATAAATAAAATAAGGTATTGTGTTCATCTACAACTAAAAAATATTAAAAAAAGTTTAGATAAGGGGAATTATTCTTGAATTCCATTATATTTCTAGATTATACACACACAGTGTTCATAACATTACAAGACAGTGTTGCAGAATAAACTCAATGTAACAGAAAATTATTGTAGATCTACACAGTTTTGGCAGATTAAACATTGACTTTAACAGTACAACTGCCATAAACTGGTCTGGCAGCAAATACAGCTGACTCTTAATGACCATTTGACTCAGGTACTGGGAGAAAAGGTCCGCAGGCACACTAAAGAGGACCCACTAGTCCTGGGCATTAGTATGTTTTACAAAGGGAATGGTTTTAGAACAAACTGGTATTTCAGCAGGTGGATTAAGTGGAGGATGCCTGTAACAGTTGCTTCTGTAACTTAGTTCAATATTTATTCATACTCAAGTACTTATTAAGGTTCTGGGATACATATAGACAGTAGATATTTAGAAAAGAAAGAAGTCTTGAGAATTGCAGTTCCACAGAAAGCTTGCCAGAGGAATTAGTTTCCTATCTTCAGGATTTGGAGTGTTGGTATGGGCCAGGTGAGTGGCATGAACAAAGGCAGTAATTGCTAGCACAGAGTTGAATGTATTTTGTCTTTTTCACTGTTTTACTCTAGAATGGGCTTTAGAGATGAAGCAGCTGGATATTTTCATAAAGCAGTGAAGCTAAACCCTGATTTCAGTGATGCAAAGGAGAATTTTTATCGTGTCGCAAACTGGCTGGTGGAACGATGGCACTTTATCATGCTTAATGACACCAAAAGAAATATGATTTATAATGCAGCAATCCAAAAGGCGGTATGCTCAGGGTTCAAAAGTGTTTTGGACATTGGAGCGGGAACTGGAATTCTGAGGTTTGTTATAGTTGTTTAAATTATATATATATATATATATATATTAATGCACATCAAATATTTGCCAGATATAGAAAATTTGACATTGGAATTTTAAAATAGCAGTCACTTCTCTTAATCTTGCTAGGGTTATTCATACAATCATTATTACTGTATTTTTCTTTATAGCTTTTACTTTATCAAAGGCTGGAGAAACTATGAAGTTTGGGATTATTATTATTATTATTTTTTGTATATCTTTATTTTATTTTTATGTGGTGCTGAGGATCGAACCCAGTGCCTCATAGTTGCTAGGCGAGTACTCTACTGCTTGAGCCACAACCCCAGCCCTGGGATTATTATTGAAATTGTATTTTTTGTATTAATAGTCTATTGGAATTTATGAAGCCTGTTTGTGTTTTTCATGTCAGTTGTGCTTCTTAATAGAATAGATGTCATGATTTATGTCTAGACAAGAATGTTCATTTTTAAAGTGTAGAATGAGTAATAGTTGTGTTAAAAAAGAAAAGAAAAAGCCTACGTTTAAAGCATTCCATTGAAATTTGAAAAAATACAGTGGATTTTTGTGTGTGTGTGTATATGATGGAATGCTTTTTTTTTTTTTTTTTAATAGCATGTTTGCTAAAAAGGCTGGAGCACAGTCTGTGTATGCCTGTGAATTATCTAAAACCATGTATGAACTTGCCTGTGATGTAGTGGCTGCAAACAAGATGGAAGCAGGAATAAAACTTCTACATATGAAGTCACTTGACTTAGAAATTCCAAAACACATTCCTGAAAGGTACTGTTTTATAAACTGATTTTAGTATTTATATACTGCTTTTTAAAAATGTTTATTTATTTATTTTAGTTGTAGTTGGACACAATACCTATATTTTATTTATTTATTTTTATGTGGTACTGAGGGTCGAACCCAGGTCTTACACATGCTAGACGAGCACTCTACCACTGAGCCACAACTCCAGCCCCTATAATTCACTGCTTTTTAAAAAAATTAAGATACCTTTCTAGCTTCTAGACCTGATAAAAATTCTGTCTTTGTAAAGATATGATAAAGTCTTGAGAAAAATTTGTGGAAGGAATAAAATATATAAACGACCTTTACTTTTGTTAATTTCAGCGTTCTAATTTGTAAAAATGGATAATAATACTGTATAATCCATAACTATTTGAAAATTGTACTTAAAACCTGAACAGATTAGAGTCAATGGACTTATCACATTTTCTGTTACTATCTTTGTTTATAGTGAGAGCTTTGGAAGTATCAGTTGTCAATGTAGTTTGGCCTGTGCCCTTTAAATGCTTTGAAAATAATCCTATAAGTTTTGGCTTTTTAGTATATATTAGTATGAACTGTATTATGAGGGTGATGAAATTTTAGAATTAGAAGATATTTAAGAATCATCTTGTCTAACACTGTTATTTTAAAGATAGTTTTGATTTATTTTTCAGTCTTCTTCCATATATAATGATGTTTGCATAGTACTTGTGTACTTTTCAATGGTTTTATATTTGTTTTTCATGAAAGAAGTCTATTAGGTTATTAAGACAGGTATGCATCCATTTTATAGGGAAAAAAGACACTGTCCTGAATTATCTTAGTCTGCATAACAAAATACCACTGACTGGGTTGCTTAAACCACAGATCTTTTCTCAGGTGAGATTCTCTTCCTGGCTTGCAAATAGTTACCTTCTAACAACATCTTCACATGGCTATTCGTATGTGAATGAGGGAATGATCTCCAGTGTTCCTTCTTTGATAATGAAGCCAGACCTATTGGATTAGGGTACCTGTTTATCTCATTTAGTCTTAATTAATTCCTAAAGGTTCTATTTTCAAATACAGGTATATTAGGGGTTAGATCTTCAACATAAGAATTTTGGGGGGATATAGTTAATTCCATAGTATGAATCAAACTTAACTTTAATTCAATTTGTATTTTTTTTTTTTAACAGATAAAGGTGTAGAAAAGTGTACTGACCTTTTATCAGGAAATAAGAAGTTCTATACTCTTTTCTTAATTCATTTTGACCTTAAGCAGACTGCTAGATTTTGAGATGTTGGATAGATGTTTTGAGATACCTTAAATATTCTAAGTGTATGCAACTCTAAATACTGAATGTTTCTGTATATATGTATAATATTGGGTTTAAGCACTGTTGGGGATACCACAGGCATTCCTGCAGATAGGAAGATAAGAGCTGTTCATTTATTTTCAGACTACAAAAATGCATGGTACTGGAGATAAGAGCTAAAGGTGTTCAGAGAAGGGAGGAATTATTTAGAAGTATCTTTTGAGTAGAATTTTCCAAGAATGGACAGAAATCATGGAAGAGGATTTTGTGAAGACAAAAGAAATGTTGAGTAATGAGAGGCACAGTCAAACTTGCAAGAGGCAAAGTTGGGCTGTGCAGTATCACAGAAGATAGAGGTTGGCTTTTTGAAAGGAAAGGCTCTTAATGGCATTAAATAATATTTGTAGCTCAAGAAAAATTATAACTAAGAAAGATGATTTGTTTTGATAAGGAAGGAGTCATTGTTAATAGAGAATACTTTTATACAGTGTTAGAGTTAGCACTCCAGTTGTTTGATATTGGGAAGGGGACTAGGAAAGGTGGTGGGCATAAACAGCTCTTGAGGATTTAGGCAATCAAAGAACAGCTTGAGGAGGCAGCAGTGCCAGGTGTTGTCAGCCCTCTTGCCCTCATACTAATGGGAAGGAGCCAGTGGAGCATAAAGGGACCTGAAGAACATTAGAGTCAAGTTACTCAACAATTTAGGCTAGATACTAAAATAAAATATATTAGAAAGATTTACATGTGGATTGCTTATATAATATACTCTTCATTTTTCTCTTCTCTCAGCTTGAACATTTTTATATAAATAGCATGCTATTTTACTTACATGTATCTTTAAAAAATCGTTCTATAGAGTGTCCCTAGTTGTAACCGAAACTGTCGATGCAGGTTTATTTGGAGAAGGAATTGTAGAGAGTTTGATTCATGCTTGGGAGCATTTACTTTTGCAGCCAAAGGTAAGCAACATGAAAACAAATTTGAATTTCATTAAGAATTCATTATTCATTATTTCAGCAGAGATTTATTGAGCCCCTAGAGCATTTGCAAAGCAATATGAAGTTTATTTCCTACTGTCAAGGTACATAATGTGTAATTGGAAAGAAATCCATGCCAAAACCTTTGAATAGCCACATAACACAATATATATTTTTGTGCCCAGATGAGCATTATAAAGGTTAAAAAATACTCCAGGAAGAAATTCATAGGAATTGGTGTTACCTTGTGGAGGAACTTCCTATAGAATGCTTAAATATGGTTGTGAAAAGGAGGTACTTTCAGTCCTTCTTCCCTCACTGCTGGGAATTTTGGCAGCTCACCAGAAGGGCGTATAGTGATGCTGGGTTGGTAGAGTTTTAAGGTGATTGTTGAACTCAGGCTGCTGACTGGGCAGCACTAACTCTTACATTTTGTATTGAAATCCTCTGTGGTAGGTCACAAATCATAGATATATAACATTTATTATGAAAGAAAGGATATTAACATGGAATAAAACTTTGCTATTTACAGAAATTAATTTGGTTTTAAAATAGCTAAAGGCTGAAAAGAAGAGCAATTTATTTTTCAAGCAGATAATGATAATTTTGATTTTTAAGTTAAAGTTGTACCCCAAAGTCCTATGTTATTTAGACTTAGTTCTTTCCCTCCCTCCCTTCTCTGTAATTATATTAAGAAAATGTACATACATACATAGTAAATTTTTTTTTGAAAAATTTCTTGAAGTGTTTATTTTAAATTTTAAATTTTTTCTTTTTCTTTTTTTGTGGTGTTGGATTTTGAACCCTTTCTTTTTAATTTTCATTGTTTCTCATTCATGTATATTGCATACATGTAATAGTCATTTTTATTACTGTATTTTCAGACCAAAGGTGAAAATGGTAATTGTGATAAGTATGGGAAAGTTATACCAGCAAGTGCTGTCATATATGGGATGGCAGTAGAATGTGCAGAGATAAGAAGACATCATAGGTAAGTAACTTAATACTAAATACTAAAAAATAATAATTTTAAGCAGAATACTGTAGTTCAAATGTTACTTAGTGCATATTTATTTGGGTGGGGATCTGAAGGTTTTTTAAAATTCTTATTTGTATATGACAGCAGAATGCATTACAATTCACATTACACATATAGAACACATTTTTTCATATCTCTGGTTGTATACAGAGTATATTCACATCATTCATGTCTTCATACGTGTACTTAGGGAAATGATGTCCATCTCATTCTACCATCTTTTTACACCTCTTGCCCCCTTTCTTCCCCTTCCTCCCCTTTGCCCTATCTAGAGTTCCTCTAATCTTCACATGCTTCCCCTCCCAACCCCACTATGAATCAGTCTCCTTATATCAGAGAAAACATTTGGCATTTGGTTTTTTGGGATTGGCTGACTTCACTTAGCATTATATTCTCCAACTCCATCTATTTACCTGCAAAAGTCATGATTTTATTCTCTTTTAATGCTGAGTAATATTAGATTGTGTATAAATACCACATTTTCTTTATCCATTCATCTACTGAAGGGCATCTAGGTTGCCATTGATGTGGCTGTGTCCCTGTTGCATGCTGTTTTGAAGTCCTTGTTTTTTAGACCAAGGTGTGGGATAGCTGAGTCCAAAGGTGATTCCATTCCCAGTTTTCCAAGAATCTCCATACTGCTTTCCATATTGGGTGCACCATTTTGCAGTCCCACCAGCAATGTATAAGTGTGCCTCTCCCCCCACATTCTTGCCAACATTTATTGTTGTTTGTATTCTTTTTTTTTTATTTTAATCTTTATTTTATTTATATGTGGTGCTGAGGATCGATCTCAGGGCTTCACATATGGTAGGGGAGTGCTCTACCTCTGAGTCAAACTCCAGCCCTGTTTGTATTCTTAATAGCTGCCATTCTGACTGGAATAAGATGAAATTTTAGAGTAGTTTGGATGTGCATTTCTCTAATAGCTAGAGATGTTGAACATTTTTTCATATATTTGTTGATTGATTGTGTATCATCTTCTGAGAAGTGCCTGATTGGTTCCTTGGCCCATTTATTGATTGGGTTATTTATTTTTTTGATGTTATTTTTGAGTTCTTTATATACCCTAGAGATTAGTGTTCTATCTGATATACAAGTGGAAAAAATTTGCTCCCATTCTGTAAGCTCTCTATTCACCTCACTGATTGTTTCTTTTGCTGAGAAGAAGCTTTTTAGTTTGAATCCATCCCATTTATTCTTGATTTTAATTCTTGCGCTATAGGAGTCTTTTTTTTTTTTTTTTTGAGAATATTTTTTTAATATTTATTTTTTTAGTTTTCGGCGGACACAACATCTCTGTTTGTATGTGGTGCTGAGGATCGAACCCGGGCCACACGCATGCCAGGCGAGCAGGCGAGCGCGCTACCGCTTGAGCCACATCCCCAGCCCTATAGGAGTCTTAACAAGGAAGTAGGGGCCTAATCCGATATAATGGAGATTGGGGCCTACTTTTTCTTCTATTAGACGCAGGGTCTCTGGTTTAATTCCTAGGTCCTTGATCCATTTTGAGTTGAGTTTTGTGCATGGTGAGAAATAGGGATTTAATTTCATTTTGTTGCATATGGATTTCTAATTCTCCCAGCACTTTTTGTTGAAGAGGCTATCTTTTTTCCAATGTATGTTTTTGGTGCTTTTGTCTAATATAATATAACTAATTATGGTGGGTTAGTCTCTGTGTCCTCTATTCTGTTCTATTGGTCTACTAGTCTATTTTGGTGCCAATACCATGCTGTTTTTGTTACTGTTGCTCTGTAGTATAGTTTTAAGGTCTGGTTTAGTAATGCCACCTGCTTTGCTTTTCTTGCTAAGGATTGCTTTGGTTGTTCTGGGTCTCTTATTTTTCCAGATGAATTTCATGACTGCTTTTTCTATTTCTATGAGGAATGTCATTGGGATTTTGATTGCAATTACATTAAATCTGTATAGTGCTTTTGGTAGTATGGTTATTTTGACAATATTAATTCTGCCTATCTAAGAACAAGGTAGATCTTTCCATCTTCTAAGGTCTTCTTTCATTTTTTTCTTTAGTGTTCTGTAGTTTCGTTGTAGAGATCTTGCACTTCTTTCATTAGGTTGATTCCCAAGTATTGTATTTTTTTTTTTCAGGCTATTGTAAATGGGGTAGTTTTCCTCGTTTCCCTTTCTGAGGATTTGTCACTGATTACAGAAATGCCTTTGATTTATTGGTGTTGATTTTATATCCTACTACTTTGCTGAATTCATTTACTAGTTCTAGAAGGTTTTTGGATCTTCTAGGTATAGAATCATTTCATCAGCAAATAGTGCCAATTTGAGTTCTTCCTTTCCTACGTGTATTCCTTTAATTTCTTTCATCTGTCTAATTGCTCTGGCCAGTGTGTTTCAAGAGCTATGTTAAATAGAAGTGGTGAAAGAAGGCATCCCTGTCTTATTGCAGTTTTCAGAGGAATGCCTTCAATTTTTCTCTGTTTACAATGATTTTGGCCTGGGGCTTAGTATAGATAGCTTTTACAATGTTGAGTTATGTTCTTGTTATCCCTAATTTTTCTAGTGTTTTGAACATGAAGGGGTGCTATATTTTGTCAAATGCTTTTTCTGCATCTATTGAGATCATCATATGGTTCTTATCTTTAAGTCTTTTAATGTGATGAATTACATCTATTGATTTCCGTTTGTCGAACCAAACTTGCATTCCTGAGATGAACCCCACTTAATTGTGGTGCACTATCTTTTTGATATATTTTTGTATTTGATTTGCCAGAATTTTATTGAGAATTTTTGCATCTATGTTTATTAGAAAAATTGGTCTGAAATTTTCTTTCTTTGATGTACCTACCTTTGCTTGGTTTTGGAATCAGGATGACATTGGCCTCATAGAATGAGTTTGGAAGTGCTTCCTCTTTTTCTATTTCCTGAAATAAATTGAAAAGTATTGATATTAGTTCTTCTTCTTTTTCTTATTTTTTAATTTTTTTTAAACTTCTGTTTTTTAATATTTATTTTTTAGGTGTTGATGGACACAACACAATGCCTTTATTTTTATGTGGTGCTGAGGATCGAACCTGGGTCCCGCCTGTGCTAGGCGAGTGCTCCACTGCTGAGCCACAATCCCATCCCCTATTAGTTCTTTTTTAAAGGTCTTGTAGAACTTGGCTGTGTATCCATCTGGTCCTGGGCTTTTCTTGGTTCGTAGGCTTTTGATGGCATCTTCTGTTTCGTCACTGGAAATAGATATGTTTAAATTGTGTAGATAGTCCTGATTGAATTTGGGCAAATCATATGACTCTAGAAATTTGTCATTGCCTTTGATATTTTCTATTTTATAGGAGTACAAGTTTTCAAAATAATTTCTATTATATTCTGTTTTCTGTAGCATCTGTTGTGATATTTCCTTTTTCATCACTTATGTTAGTAATTTGAGTTTTCTCTCCTTCTCTTTGGATCTGAAGTTTTTTGACCTTGAAATTCATACGTTTAGGCTTAATTTATTTTTGCCTATTTAATAATTTTGTTTTAAAATAAACTTCTACAATTAAAGCCAGCTCCTTTTCTTGTTTAAATATATGTTTTAGTGGTTGATGGACCGTTATTTTATTTTTGTGTGGTGCTGAGAATTGAACCCAGTGCCTTACACATTCTATGCAAGTGTTCTACCACTCAGCCCCAGCCCCAGCCCCAGCCCCATAAAGCCAGCTTCTTTTTTAAAATGGAAAATTATTGGTACAACATAGTGTCCTTTAGTTGTGTAATAGATTTATGTACAGAATATTTTCAGAATGATTTCAGATGAAGTTGGAATTAAAACTACTAGTGTGGGAATGAATTGTAGTTGTTGGCTTATTTTTCTTGATAACTTCATTAATGTTGTGATTAGTGTTTGGGAGGGATGAAATTTTAGGATCTAAGAAGTTCTTTCCCCCCAATAACTTAATAATAATTTAGGAAATATTAATGAATAAAAGAAGAAAATTAAAATCATCCTAAATCCCTCACCAGTAAATAACTACAATTCATTTTTATTGCATATTGTTCCTTAATCTTTTTGTCTCTCATTACTGGATGATAACAAGAATGTTTAAGGATTGGTGGGCACAAGATACCAACCATACAGTGCTTAATTAGCAAACTGGCTGAATGATAGTGTACAGGTTGAATGTCAACTATTTGTAAATAAATGTGTGTAAACTTAATTTTGTTCCAAAATACCAGTATATTTGCTCTTTATTTGTGAGCCTCTTCATGTTAATAGAGTTGGTTTGTGATTTTTTAAAAATCAATTTCTTAATGTTATGAGTTTAACATTTTTAGGTTGCTTCCTCTTTTCTGCCTCTTTGTTTTTGGTGCTGGGGATTGAACCCAAGGGTTCTTTACTAAGCTACATACCTACCAGTTTTTGTAATTTTGAGACAGGTGTCACTAAGTTGCAAGGGCCTCACTAAGTTGTCAGTTCTGGCCTCTATCTTGTGGTTCCTTGGCCTCTGCCGTGGAGTTGCTGGATTTACTGGCATAAGCCACCATGCCTGGCCTTCTGCTTTTCTCCTTTTAAGACCCAGGATAAGCATCTTTGCAGTCTTGTCTATTATTTTCTTGGAATAGATTCCTTTGTAAGAGATTTCTGAGTTACAGGGATGTACACTTTTCAACTCTGAACATTTGTGGCTGCCCTGCCCACCAGAAAAGCGAGGCTGTGTCTCCTTGAGATTTCTTGCTATAACATGCCTTCAATAGTTCCTTCTTATATTTTATAGGAAAACCACTAAAATCATTGGCCTGAGCAAAATAGAAATTACATAGCTGATGTCTACTATTTTGAAAAAGGGTAATTTCATTGTTGATTTACTTATATAGCAAATGAGTGAGTGAGTGCAAACAAACATAGAGGAGCTTTTGTAATGTTGAAAATGCCGTCCATTTTGATTGAGTAGCTCTGTGTGAGTCAGGTCCAGAATTTGTGTTTTTGAAATTGAGCAGTGTGGGTTGAGGTTGGTGAAGAAAGATGCTGAAAAAGATATATTTGAGTGCAATTGTTTTACCTGGTAGAAATGTTTGTAAATCATAATTATAAAATTACCTCAGGGAACCTAATCAGCTGAATCTGTTGCTTACCTGAGCAAACAAATATTTAAAAATAACAGAGAAAGCTGAAACTCACCTTTTGGTTATAAAAACCTAGGAATAAAATCAATAATGTATTGATGCAGAGGAAAGTGCATGAGTGATAGTAAAAAATTTCAAAGGCCTGTGATGCACAGGCCTTTGTAGATTTCAGGTATAGTATTTCAAATTAGTAGGGAAAGAGCAAACTGATCAGTAAATGTGGTATTAGCTTCATTTGGGGAAAACAGATCCTTACTTCTAATTCAGTAAGATCTTGCAAAACAGGGTAGTATCCAGAAGCCATAAAATATTGACAGATTGGACTACATTAAAAAGAAAAAAAATCAGTCTGTAAAATATACAGTACTTTTAAAGACAGGTGACAGACTGAGGTAAAAATTTTGTAACTTAAAACAAAGAAGGAATATAATTGTCAGAATGGAAATTGGATGGGATAATATTTTTAACTGCTTTTTTGAAGATGTGGGGAAAATTTACACACTTTGGGCGCAACATTTTAGTAGCTCAATTTGGTATTTTCTAACAAAAAATTAGAGATGTTTATAAGTCCTTGGCACTGCATTTCTGCATTTTGGAATCTCTCCTGACAAACACTCATTTATGTGTATGATGATTAATGTACAGGGGTATTCACTGTATTACTATAACTGAAAAAAACAAAAACAAAAACAAAAACCTATCTGAATGTTTATCAACAAGAAAATATTTAATAGATTAGAACAGTCACCTATTATAATATTATACAAGTGTCCAAAAGAATTAGCCAAGGTACATGAACAGCAAGGGAACAAGTTTATGGTATTCCATATATGAATCTGATAAGGCATAATCCTAGGAGCAAGATTCAGGACCTTATATCTCCTTGGAGAAATGGCTGATTCTAGGATTAGGGCATGTTAGATTCAAGATGATTCTAAAACATCTTGTGTCAAAAAGCAAGAAAATGCTAAAAGCATCATCATCATCATCATCATCATCATCATGATCATCCTGGGAATTTTAAAGGAACACAAGAGCATGTTTGAAGGGTTAACCACTGGTCAAATCTGGGACAGTTTAAGTACCAAAATAAGTAAGAGCTGTTATTTAAGATTGAAGCTATTGAATGAGAGTTCATGAATCTCTGCTTATAATATGCAGATTATAAATAAATATATGGGGGTAAAAGATACCTTTTCCTTACAGTGGAATGCTGACTAATAATACAGAAAAAAATGATGCAGAATGACTATTATGCAATCCTCATGCACAGATGATAGAAGCAAGAATCAAGAATTGACTCTTAAGTCAAGGGAAGGAATTTAATGAGAAGCAGGGTATTCAGTGGTTTTAGAGTATCTTTCAAATGTACTTATTACAGAAGGAAAATTGTAAATGTGTAGTGAAGAAACCATACAGCATTTTAACCAAGTGACCAAGCTAAGATTCTTGGTGAGGAAACCCCCTTTATATAGATAGTATTGCCTCCCAGAAGTATGCACCTAATTATGCGGAAACCATAGACAAAGTCAAGATGGAGCCAAAAAATGTACTACCTTCTTAAAAAATTTCATTGTCATGAGAGAGAAAAAGCAAAGATAAGGAACATTAAATCTCCACATTAAAGGAGATTAAAGAGATAGTTGAGAGATATTGAATGTGGATTATAGATTGGAAAATACTGATTTGGTAACTATGGTGATTAAGAGAATATCTTTACTTGTAATAAATATACACTGAAAGTGTATCTGTTGAGGGATGAATAGGCATGGTGAATGCAACCTGCTTTCAGATAATTTAGAAGAAAATAAAGAGTGTGATAAAGCAAATGTGGCAAAATATCAAAAAACATGGTATGAGAAATTCTGGTTAAAGGGTATGAGAGTTCTTTATATTGTCCGGGAAACTTGTCTATAGATTTAAAATAATTTACAAAATTAAAAAGTTAAGAGCAAAGTAAAATATGTGTAATGTATCTTTATATATATTTGAGCAATATATGTACATATTACACTCAAATGTAAAGAAGAAGGTATGGAAAGATATGCATCAAACACCAGTGAAGAAATAAGGATAGGAGTACTGTGAAGGTTGACATTCTCTTTCTATATGAAGTTGTAGCAGTAAGTCTATATTCATGTATTTTGTAATAAACTAAAAGGAACTTATTTGTCACATCTTTTTTGTTTTTATAACTTGTGACTTAAGTTATTAAAATTCTTAATTTTATTTGATGACTCCTTTTTTTGAGAGTATAATAAAAAAATTTCTAGAAGGGAACTAAACTTCTATAACTTTATGAAGGCAAATAGACTAAAACATAAATGCTTCTGGGGGCTGGGGATATAGTTCAGTTGGAAGAGTGCTTTCCTTGAATGTACAAGCCCCTGGTTCAATCCCTAGCATTCCCACCAAAAAAAAAAAAAAAAAAGCTTGTGAGGTGAGGTGAGATGAGGTTGGAGTGTTTTCTTTTTACAAAATGGTGTTGCCAAAATGGTCATGGAATGTTATTTTCAATGTAAATTTATTGACACAGACATCTTTATACTAAATGCATAACCTATACAATTGTGAATTTTCATGAAATTGATATATACCTGTGTAACCAGTATTCAGATCAGGGACCAGAACATTACTACCATCCTGGAAAGTCTCCAGGAAGAATCCCTTTCCTTTGCCATTCTCTGCTCCCTCAAAAGTAGCCATTATCCTGACCTCCAGTACTACACATTAGTGTTGCTTCTTTTGAATTTTACACAGATTAAACTATATAGTGTGATTGTGTGTGTGTATGCCTTGTTTCTTTTGTCTAACATATCCATGTTGTTAGGCTCAGTTTGTTGAACATAAAATTCCATTGTATGAATATATTACAATATATTTATTTGTCTGTTTCACTATTTATGGACATTTAAATTGTATCAGTGGACTCTTGGTAAAATATTATTGCTACAAACATTCCTGAATGTTCTTTTAATGTATGAATTTCTTTGGCTATAGTCCCAGAAGTGGAAAAGCCAAATACCACGTTAAGGGTGATTCTCTAATAGATATGTTTCACTTGAGTGGGTACTGCAAAACCATCTTCCAAAGTGGACTTACTAATTTATATTCCTACAAGTAGTATGGGACTGTATCCTCATCAACACATGAACAAATAAAACTTGACTTTTATTTTTCCCCTTCTAGGGGTTGTGTACTATACATTATGGTTTTTACTTCATTACCCTGGGGATTATTGAAGCCAAGCAACTGTTAATGTACTTACTGGATTTGTTCTTTTTTTTTTCCCCTGGTACTGGGGATTTAACCTAGGGGACTTTGTCATTGAGCTACATATCCTGCTCTTTTTATTTTTTATTTTGAGACAGTCTTAGTAAGTTGCTTAGTGCCTTGCTAATTTGCTTTGATCTTGCCATCCTTCTGTCTCAGCCTCCGGCTTCTTTGGGTGGAATTACAAGTGTATGCCACCTGATTAGATGTGTTCTTCTGTGAAGTGTCTAAATGCCGCAGTCTGGCTGGGCACACAATCACGAGCCACCACACAGCTTGTAGATTCAAACAGCAACTCTTTATTCCCGAACTCACACCAGCCGTCTACAATCACTTTCTGGGGAAATCCACGTTCTCTGCCCAAATCCACCTCCACTGGGCTTCTATCTCCCAAAGAATACTGTCTGAATCCCGTGAGAACTCAAGGGGAACTCAGGCAGCAGGATACGCCCTATTCCCAGCAGGAATAATCTTAAACCTTAAACCTGGAACCTAAACCGGGAACGCCCTAATCCGCCTTGGTCCTTGAGCAAGGTCACCTACATTCAATGTCACTGCAACATGGGGTACGCTGGCAAGGAAATTGTCATACCTACTTGGTTAATGGCTCCCAGCATCTAAAATTTGATTGAATATGTGTATTACAAATATTTTCATTCAGTGATTTTTATTTTTACTTATTAGGATGTCCTTTTCTGAGCAGAAGTTCTTTACTTTATATCTATTTGTCATTTGTTGTCTTTTATAGCTAGTGATTATGTACATAATTTAAGAAACCTATGCCCATGATATCTTATTTCATTTTTTATATGTATTTTTTATGACTCAATATTAGATGATATTACTTGATGTAAAAAAAAAATCTTTCTCACCTACTTCCCTTATTTTGTCTCTCAACAGAGTAGGCCTTAAGGATATTGTTGGTATCCATTTGCCAAAAAATGTGAAATTTCAGAGTCCAGCTTATTCTTATATAGATAATGAAGAAACAGTTGAACCTTATACAACTGAAAAGATGAGTCGAGTTCCTGGAGGATATTTGGCTTTGACAGAGTGTTTTGAAATTATGAAAGTAGATTTTAACAATCTTCAGGTAAAAAAAACAAAAAAAATCAATTATGATTTTTAAGCATTAAATTTCATGCATTGTTTAATGGATAGGACAATCTTATTTTTATGAGTTTGCATAAGATTTTGCTTCTGATATATAAAGAATTGATAAGAGAGTAATTAGAATTCCCTCCTGAAATTATTCACTCACTTCAAGCACAAATAAAAATTTCCTAAGATTTATTGGGATGTATAGTTTGCCAAATGCTTTCACATTTGTCTTAGAGAGCCCTAACACCATGTTTCAGAAGAATTAGAATTATCCTTGTGCTATACAGATGAGGAAACTTGTTTTTAATTGTAGATGGACACAATACCTTTATTTATTTTATTTATTTTTCTCTGGTGCTGAAGATCAAACCCAGTGCCTCACATGTGCAAGGCAGGCACTTCACCACTGAGCTACAACCCCATTTCCAGATGAGGAAACTATTTATCATATTAAACAGTTTCTTCCAGAATATTCAGCATGGAAATGCAAGGGCAAGACTTCTAGACCAAGTTTTTCTTTTTTTTTTTTTTTCTCTCTGTGTCATGATGCCTTTTTAAACTAATAGTATTCCTTGAAATGAACACTAATCCAAATTTCAAGATTAAATTTGCATTATGGTGACTAGCCATTCCATTGCCCAGGACTGAGGAGTTCCTGAGACAGAGGATGTTCAGTTTTAAAACTAGGGTGGTCTTAAGAAAAGCAGGGCAAATTGATCACCCTAGTTTGTATTTGTGTATGTGGTAGAAATTGAGAAAGGCCACATAGAACGCTTTTATGAGGTCTTTTTTTTTTAGTTGTAAATAGATTTTTTATTTTATTTATTTATTTATATGTGGTGCTGAGGATCAAACCCCAGGGCCTCACACATGCCAGGCAAGTGCTCTACCCTGAGCTACAACCCCAGCTCCATGAAGCTCTTTAATTAAGGTTAAATGTTCAAGTATACAGATGTTTTAGATGAAGCCACCTGGGGACCGAAGATTTTGTGAAGGTCATTTTAGCCTAAGATTTAAAAAATTTAATAGAAGCTTTATCCTCTAATAACTGTTGCTTGGTTATTATTGAGGTATTCTCCAACTAATTTTAATATTTTGGTTTTGCTTCCTGAGGCAGAGCAGTCTTCTTCCTAAGTATAATTGTTAGGAAGACTGAAAGTATAAGTATATAATCTGAGCAACATTCCAATAGGGAATAACACCATTGTAGTTGCTGATTACCTCAAAGCTATCCTTTTATTATTTTAATTTTTCTTTGCCATATACATTATTAAGGTTTTAATTTTGAAAGCATCACCTGCCTGTTTAACAATACTTTCAAGCCATACAGAATTGAAAATGAAAAAGCTCTGGTATTTTTCTTCCCTTTTTAAATCTTGGCCCCTCTTCCTCAGGTCAGGAGTTTGGAGTGCATCTTTCAGACTAGAATTTTCTGTTTATACACCTTTTTTTAAAAAAAATATTTATTTTTTTAGTTGTAGTTGGACACAGTACCTTTAGTTATTTATTTTTATGTGGTGCTGAGGATCGAACCCAGGCCCTCGCACGTGTCAGTCCAGTGCTCTGTGGCTGAGCCACAACCCTAGGCCACCATCATGCCTTTTTAAACAAAATAATTCTTGTGACTTTGCTACTTGCTTTGTCATCCAATATATCACGAAATTTCTTGCAGTGGTGATGTCTATCTGCCTATTCTTTGAGTAGCTGAGTGATACTCTAATATAACAGATCAAAACTCCTGATCCAGTAGTCTTGAGGTGGTTTTAGATATCCACGTTACTGGTTGCTTCAGAGTGCTGGGAAGGCTATTTCAGGGATGTTCAGTGTATGAAATCCTCTCATTCATTTTACATTTTTTTCCCTAAGGAATTAAAAAGTCTTGCAACTAAAAAACCTGACTCAATTACTATTCCTGTTGTTAAAGAAGGCACATTAGATGCTGTTGTGGTTTGGTTTGTGCTTCAGCTCGATGATGTACACAGTTTATCCACAAGTCCTAGTGAGGAAACATGTTGGGAACAGGCTGTTTACCCTGTGCAGGACCTTCCAGGTAGGTCTTGTCTAGTTTTTGTTTTGTTTTTTAAAAAAAGATTTGCTTGAATGCTCTGAGTATTCAAATCATTACTAAAAAGGGAAAAAACAAAACTCATAAAACTTTGGATATGAAGTTTTCAGTCAAGGGAAGTTGGTTAAATCTTTGAGAAGTTTTTTTTTTCAAAAGTAGATATACATAATTAATATAAGTAGTTAAAGAAGAGAGATTAAAACCAACTCTGTTACATACCACTCAAAAATATTTATCACTGGTTTTTTAGTTATCAGTAAGTGAAAGAAATGCTGTTTTTGCTGTTGTTTGTGTTTTTAATGGAAAGTATTGGAAAATGCTTTTAGTGTAGGAGTTTTAACCCCTTGATGTATCTGATAACATCTGTGGAGACTCAGTCATAAATATGCACATACTAATATAAACAAAAGCTGGCACTTCAGGGAGTTCATGGATGAATGAATTTACTAAGGAAGTTCTGTATTAAAGATAATTTTTGTGTGGAAATTTTTTTTTACAGCAATTTGATGAGTTTCAGTGAGTTTACAGCAGTTGAATTATATAGAAAAGCTCTACCCTTTTTAAGTAGAAAGGCAGTACATTTTGTTTTAGTCTCCTAAGGATCTAATTTGACAAGGTCATTAAGTTATGGATCTGTATAGTGTGTGGCTAGTGTGATGTTTTTAATTGGTAGATTTGGATTCATATCTCAAATCTGCTACTTACTGACTCCCTGTAGACTGGCCTTGCTAGTCATTTCTCCATTTTTGTTGTGATTGATATATATATATATATATATATATATATATATATATATAAATGAGATGGCACTGTCTACGTTTTAGCAGTATTATTGTAGGAATTATTAGAGATAAAGGGTATGAAATGTCTACCACAGTGATTGGCACTCAATAAATTATACACACACACACACAAACATATATTTTATATCTGTATATTTATTTTCTCTCAGAGTTAACTTATATGTCATTTTAAAAAAATATTTTTTATCAATTGTTTTTTATAACTTTTATTTATTTATTTATTTTTATGTGATGCTTAGGATTGAACCCAGGGCCTCAAACATGCTAGGCTCTACTGCTGAGTCACAAACCCAGCTCAAATTGTCATTTTTTAAAAAGTATTTTTGGAGAAGAGTCATTTAAAATGTTTAAATGTAAGAATAACAACTTGTACTTTTAACTGGTTCTAGAGCTGATGAGAAGGTATTATGATTATTCATTTTCATTGTAAAGTTTTACCACATGTGAAACTCATAGAAAAGAGTACTTGTAGAACATAGTTCTTTCTTACACTTTGAAATTCCTAAGCATGCAAGAATATCTAAAAATTAACTGATTAGAAATATTTCAAACAGGATTCTGATGAATGCTGACTTGTTTTTTGAAAATTTTTCTTAGAGAAAAGAATGTCATGTTAAGTTAAAGTGAAATTTGATTTTGATTCCTGAATTTTTTCTATGGCCATACCACCCTGAACGCGCCCAATCTCATCTGATTCCTTAATTTTGTCTCTCTTTAGTTTTGTTAGCTTTATTACCAAAGATGATTGAGAATTCCCTGTAGCCGTCTGCCCCACCTCCCTGACCCATCTTCCCTATGGTGGTACCTATTGATAGCAGTAAACAAAACAAAACAAACCTATAATACTGATAGTGTTACAGTCCAGTAATAGAGCTCTTAAGTCTTTCTGTTATGGTACAAATTAATCGAATTTCCAAATTTTAGTTTTTCCCTAGTAAAGCTGGTGAGATTTTCCTAGTTTTTTAAAATAGTAAATTAATAGATTAATCCTTTCTGTAGTTATTAAAAGAATTGGGGATTAAATGGGGGGATTGGAGATGTTTATGTGATCTTCAGGCTAACAAGCATTCCATATTAATCAGTTATACTATTTCTCTCTTATTAATGAAGACTACTGGATGAAGCCTGGAGATCATGTGACAATGGAAGTATCTTGTCAAGACTGTTACCTAAGAATCCAAAGTATCAGTGTTTTGAGTTTGGAACAAGAAATGGAAGTTACAAAAAGTTTTACTAAGGATACAGACTTACTATCTTCGGGAAAGGAGGCTGAACTCTGTAGTGCCCTGGCTAACCTTCAGACCAGCAAGCCAGATGCTGGAGAGCAAATATGTGTATTGGAATCCACAGAAATTGCTTTGCTTAATAACATCCCATATCATGAAGGCTTTAAAATGGCAATGAAGAAGGTATTCTCTTCATTGACTCCAGAAAAACTGTGTCAGGTGATGGATCCTCACTGTGAGGATAATGAAATGAGCTCAGGAACTGGAAGGCAAAACACTGTGCAGAGCACCTCCGAACCTTTATATGTGTTAGATGTGTCTGAAGGCTTCTCTATTCTGCCTATAATTGCTGGCACACTTGGGCAGGTTAAGCCTTACAGTTCTGTGGAAAAAGACCAGCATCGTATTGCTCTGGACCTCATATCTGAAGCCAATCACTTTCCTAAAGGAACACTTGAGTTTTGGCTGAGACATGTGGAGGATGAATCTGCTGTGTTGCAAAGGCCCAAATCAGACAAGTTGTGGAGCATAATCATACTGGATGTCATCGAGCCATCTGGGCTCATTCAGCAAGAAATAATGGAAAAAGCTGCAATATCGAGGTAAACGACAAAATAGAAATTTTTAGTTTTTTCAGTCTCAAACAATAAATTCTTTTAGTTCTTTAAGGGCACAACCATAAAAATGAAAGGCCATTGTGTGTTTGTCAAGCATTGTATTTGTGATTTCATGTTTACCTCTGTGTGCATATTATTACTGATTTTTTTTTTCCCTGAAGAAATCTCTGTACTGTAGGAGTGAAGAAGAAAGTCTACTTTGTGTTAGGATAGCCTATGTTAATATAAGGACTTAGGTCAAAATCTATTAAAATAGGTAAGATGTTCAGGGTGAAAAAGATTAAAAAAACAAATTTATCTTTTATGATGTAAGAAACGTGTTTATGTTTGATGATATATTGGGAGAACTCATTCTTGAGAATGAGTACCAGTACTCCTGAGTCTTAATGTCTTTATTTTATAATATAGTTCTCTCTCTAAAGCTAAAGGTATTTCTCCTTTAACTTATGTTCCTCAATGTAAACTTGGCCTTATTATTTAATATAGAAAGTAAATTTGGCTATGTTTCAAAGTCCTTTAGTTATGATGCTGAGATCTGCAAAGAAGGCAATATATAACAGTTGGAATCCCAAACTTATGAAAAATACATTTTTACAGATTAAAATTTTACATTATAGGGAGAGGGTTGTTTTGTATTAAAAGAAAGAACGGTGGGAATGCAGACCCAAGATTGAAATAGTGTAAAGTTAAATTATCTATTCAAGGAAGATACTTGACAAACCTGGGAAAAAAGTATTTTGCTTACATAGTTAATTATAGTCAGATTTTATATGCAGTTTCTTTTGTTACTCACATTTATTGCTTGTGTGTGTGAACCAATAAAAACAACCATTGTGATTTTCTTTTTAAACAATCTTGTATGTATATATTATTATACTGGCTCTGATCTTAAATAAATTATGGAGCTATGGAGGCTTAAGTATATACACATATAATTGTGTGTGTAATTTTAAACAGATGGACCTGAAACAAGATCTAAAAGAGTTCATATCCAGTATCAGATTTGTTCCTGAATTTACTAAGTTGTATAATTTCTTTGTTAGATGAGAATACTGGGTTAAATGTCTTTGAAGATAGTTCAACTCTGAATTTCTTACATAGTGAAGTTTAACTTATTTTTGATATAGTCACCTTGGAAAGTCTTATATTTCCCAAATGATTTATTTTTAGTTTTGATTTAATTTAAACTTACAGGAAAATTGCAAGAGTAGTACAGAGTACTTTTTACACATATTTACAGATTATTTACATTTCTTTTATTTATTTTATAATTTTCTTTGATTCTTTATTCTACTTTTCTTTTTTGAGAGTAGGTTAGAGACATAGTACTCCTTTACTACTACATAACTTATGTATGTATTTTTTTTAATTGGAGCATTATAGTTGCAAACAGTAGTTGTGTACATTTTGAAAAAATCATACATGTGAGGAATTTGATTTTAAACTCTCTCTTCCTTTGCTTCTTCTCCTACTTCCCATTATTCTCTTCCTCTGTGTTACTGATATTCCTTTCACTCATTTATTTAGTTTTGACTTGTTCTTTCTACGTGTACATAAAGGTGAAATTTACTGTATATATTCATATATGTGTATAATGTGATTTTGTTAAATTCATTTCATATTTCTTCCCTTTTCCTGTCTTTTCTTTCTCCCTCTTGTTCTCCTCCTCCTATTCCATTGATGTTACCTATATCTTTATGATATTAAACCCTCCTCCCCCTTACTGCTTTCTTTCTGTTATTTTGCTCTAGCTTCTACATATCAGAAAAATATTTGGCTCTTTATTTTCTGAGTCTGGCTTATTTCACTTAGCAGGACTGGTATTACTTCTGAGATAACTCAGCAGAAAGTCCATTTGGTCCTGGGCTTGCCTTTTTTTCCCCTAAGACTTTTCATTGCTGTATTGATCTGTTTAGGGTTTCTGTATCTTCCTGGTTCGATTTAGGCAGGTCATATATCTAGAAATTTGCCAATATCTTCTAGATTTTCCGGTTTATTAGAGTACAGCTTTTCAAATAGTTGTTTTTTAAGTCTTTATTTCATTAATTTGGCTCTGATCTTATTTATTTCCTATCTTCCACTAACTTTGGAATTAGTTTGTTCTTCCTTTACTAAGGCTTTGAATTAGAACATAAGCTTATTTATTTGGGAATCTATTTTTTTATTTAGGTACTCAATGTTCTAAATTTTCTTCTTAGAACTACTTTATACCATCTGAGAGATTTTGATATATTGTATGTCCTCATTTGTTTCAAAAATTTTTCTTGAATTCTCTTTTCTTTTTTGATCCATTCTTTATTTAAAAGAGTATTCTTCAATGTTTATGTGTTTATGTGGTTTCTATGGTTTTTCTTGCTGTTGATTTTTAGATTCATTCCATTATGATGTGATAGGATATATGGATTATATCAGGTTTTTTTTTTGTGTGTGTGTATGTGTGTTTGCTAAGACTTAAAACACTGTGACCTAGAAGATGATCTGTTTGGAAAAGTTTGCATAAGTTGCTGAGAATAGGGAAATTCAGTTGTTTGGGGTGAAATATTCTGCACATGTCTATTAGGTCCATTTGATTTGTAGTATTATTTAGGTTGGACATATCTTTATTAATTTTATGCCTTGAGAACCTGTCTGCTTGATAAGGGTTGTTGAAATCACAATATTACAAGTATTATTTTATTGGGGTTTATCAGATTATAGTTTATATATATAGTTTATCAGATATATAGTGTTTAGCATTTTAAAAAAAATATAATTGGATGTGCTGACATTTGGGGCAAATATACTTACTATCATTATATCTTCTTGTTGGATTGATCCCTTTGCCAGGATGTAGTGTCCTTTTTTTGTCCCATGATTAATTTTTGCTTGAAATCTGCTTTGTCAGATATGACAAAGTTTTCTGACTCCATTTGCATGGTGTATTTGTTTCCGTCCTTTTTCTTTCAGCCTGTGTCTTTGCTAATGACATGAGTCTCTTGCAAATAGCATCTAATTGCATCTTGTTGTTTTTTTTTTTTTTAATATTTATGTTTTAGGTGTAGGTGGACACAATATAATGCCTTTATTTTATGTGGGTCTGCCCATGCTAGGTGAGTGCTCTACTGCTGAGCCACAATCCCAGCCCTGCTTTTTTTTTTTTTTAACCCATTCTGCTAGTCTGTGTCTTTTAATTGAGGAGTTGAGACCATTTATATTCATGGTTTTCATAGCTATGAATTTGTGGTTTCCTGCCATTTTGATTTCTTGTTATTGATTGCTCTTCTATTGATATTCATTTATTTAGACACTTTGGGATTTGTTTTTGGATTCCTCTATGTGCAGTTTATATTTGTAGTACTGGATTAATGGACATGGGTTCTCTTAGCTTACCGTTGTCATGGAAAGTTTTTATTTCTCCATTTGAAAGAGATCTTTCCTGGGTTTAGCAGTCTTGGCTGGCAATAGTTTTCTAATAGAGCTTGTAATATTCTTATTTCAGGACCTCCTTGATTTTAGTGCCTGAGGCGAGAAGTCAAAGGTGAACTCTAAATATGACTTGATGTTTCTCTCTTGCAGCTTTCAATATTCTTTATAATTTTCTATGTTAGCCATTTTGATTATGATGTGTCTTGGGAGAACTTCTTTTTTGATCTGCTCTATTTGGGGACTTGTATGATTCTTGTGTTTGAATAGCTATCTAATTTCTGATATGGGGAAAGTTTTCTGTTAATATCTCTTTGACAGTTTTCTTTATGCTTTTATACTGTATCTTCTATGATCTCTTCTATACCGGTGACACTCATGTTTGATCTGTTGATGTTGTCCCAGAGTTCGTCATTTTTTTCTCCTTTATTGAATACTATTATACTCCAGTTCATGTGCCCTGTATTCAATCCCTGGTGTTTTATCTGTAAGGGCTGAAGTACTATTTTATTTTTATTTTTTTAATACTTATTTTTTAGTTTTTTTAGGTGGACACAATATCTTTATTTTTATGTGGTGTTGAGGATCGAACCCAGTGCCCCGCGCATGCCAGGAGAGTGCGCTACTGCTTGAGCCACATCCTCAGCCCTGAAGTTCTATTTTCTACACACTCTAATCTGTTGTTGATACTTCCAAGTGAATTTTAAATTTGATTCATTGGTTTTGAAATTAAATGATTCATTTGATTCATTCATGGTTTTGATTCCATGAATTCTGATTTGCTTCTTTTCCATATTTGTATTTCTTTATTGAAGTGGTCTGTCATCTCCTGTATTAGCTCTTAATGCATTCCTTAGATCTTCTTTTAGTTCATTGAACGTTTTAATGAGACAGAAAGAAGCAAATTTAAAAAAATTTTTTAATGTTTATTTTTTAGTTGTAGTTGGATACAATACCTTTACTTTAGTTATTCATATGTGGTGCTGAGGACTGAACCCAGGACCTTGCACGTGCTAGATGAGGCCTCCACAGTTGAGCCATAACCCCTTGAATACAACATTTTTAAGTGCCCAAAGGAAAAACATGTAAAACTGAAATTTTATATTTAGAAAAACATTCTTTAGGAAGGAAGGCTAAATAAATATATTTTCATATAATGAAAAGCTAAGAGCCAGCAGATTTGTTTAAAAAATAATTATTGGTCTTCAGACAGAAAGAAAATGATACTGGAAGGAAAACTGGGCATCAGTGATAAAGAGAAAGCAACACAATAACAAATATGTGGGTAAATGTAAGAGGTTATCATCTTTTTGTCTTCTTTAAGATATGTTTTTGACTTTTGAAAGGAAAATTAGGAAAATATCTAAAACTGAACAGAAGGGAAAATACTGCATATAAAAATTTGTGGGTGCAATGAAAACAGTGCTTAGAGATTTATAACATTAAATGCTTATGTTAACTAAGAAGAAAGTTCTCAGTAATTTTAAACTTCCTAAGTTTAAAATGGTGATCAAAATAAACCCAACACTAGCCCAAAGTACAAACTGTACAAACTATCCACCTTATAGATTTATTAGATCAAT